CATACATCTCCCCCAGCCCCAGAATAGAGCATCCCCCAAAATCTGTCCCGTCTCCCTTCAGTGCAATCACCTCCCTCCTTGTGAAGCCCCTGCAGAGTAGAGCTCTCCCCCTTTGAAACAACCCACCCCCCCACCAGAAGTAATTCGTATACGCTTGAGAGGAGAATCAGAATTCCGGACGTTGCTATGGATTATTTCTTCCCTCTCCCCTCCATCTCCGCCTGTCCCTCCGCTGCGTCCACCGAAAAGGACTGCCCTGATCATAAGCTCTCCTTATCAGCTCCAACTTGGGATATACCTGCTTCCTTCCCCTACTTCCACTAAGGCATCCACTTCCACACAAAGTATGCCTCAGCCAGCCCCTCACCCCTATCTGCCTCCGCTGGGATATGATGCTAGCCCATACATCTCTCCCAGCCCCATAATAGGGCATCCCCCAAAAATCTGCCCCCACTCCCTCCAGGGCATTTCACCCCCCACCTTGTGAAGCCCCTGCGGAGTGGAACTCTCCTCCTTAAAACCCCAGCCCCCCACCCGCACAAAAATAATTCATTAGTGCGCCCAACAGGGAATCAGAAATTAATAGTGGAGAAAAGAAAAACGAGCCTCGGGAGACTTAGGAAATTATGATGGAGAAAGGTAGATAATATTTTTTTTTTGGATTTGCTAATGACGGTGAACGGCATCCTGAAGATGATGATGATGAGGATGATGTTGACGACCAGCTCACCTGCTGATGTGAAGGGCAAACAAGGCCTTGAAGAGCAGCATTTAATGATGACAAAACGACGATGATGATAGTAATGATGATGCTGATCATACTGAAGAGCAGTACCAACAACGCCCTATGATTACAAATTGATGATGATGATAATGAGGACGATGATGATGATGATGATGATGATGTCGATGATGATGATGATGATGATGATAACGATGGTGTCGATGGTGTCGATGATGATGATGATGATGATGATAACGATGGTGTCGATGGTGTCGATGATGATGATGATGATGATGACGCACAGCGCCATGTGATGACAAAAGGATGATGATGGTGCTAATGGTGAACACCTTTGATGATAAGCTAATGATGATGATGATAAGGGTGAGTAGCGCCCTATGACAAGAGCTTCGCCAACAGCGCCCTATGATGGTGAACTATTGATGATGGTAATGATACTGACGAAATGATAATGATGATGCTGATAATGAGCAGCCCCGGCGGCGCACTATGAAGACAAACTGATGATGATCATCGTCATCATGAGCCGCGTCGATAATGACGCAACCCACACCTTGATGTTGATAACGAGCGGCACCCTGATGATGATAATGGTGTTGACTCACCACGCCCTGTTGATGATGATGGTGATGATGGTCACGATGACGAGCAGCACCCTGATGATGATGACGAACCCTGATTGTGATGATGGTGTCGAACCGCGCGCTGTTGATGAAAGTGCTGGTGATGCAGCGCCCTGATTATGTTGACACATCCACTTCCTCATGATTGCAGTCGCCACTGCACTCACACTTCAGTTTACCAAGGGCTGACTCCATTGTACTCCACAGGCGTCGAGGTAGCCAACACCTCTCAGGCCATATTACATGTGCAAAAACGCAGCAGCAATGTAGTGAAACGTGGAACTCCCATAAGAAAAAAAGCCAACGGGAGTTAGTCCATCCGCCACATCAGCTTGTGACGTGGCATGGACAAGCGCCTCCGGTCACCTGCGCGTGCGCAAAGCGCCTGGTTGAGAGAAAAGATGGCCACCGTCGCCGCCGCGTGCCCTCACCATGGCCCACTTGTGCGATGTCACAACCTAGGGCGGGGCGCAGCGGTCCCGGTAGGGCTGCGCCCCTCCTTCCCCGGTGTTGAGTGGAGAGCTTTCTCTCTCTCTCTCTAGCAACGTTGAAATGAGAATGAATCTTGCGCGATAATGCGGAAGATTCATTCTGATTTGAATGTTGGCTGTGTGAGAGAGAGAGAGAGAGAAGAGCCAACGTTCAAATCAGAATGAATCTTCTGCGATAACGTGGAAGATCATTCTCATTTCAGCGTAGAGAGAGAGAGAGAGCGAGAGAGAGAGAGAGAGAGAGCATCAGCGAGTGTCTGACGCCGAGTTTGGTGCTGGACACTGGCTGACTCTCTCTCTCTCTCTCTCTCTCTCTCTCTCTCTCTCTCTCTCTCTCTCTCTCTCTCTCTCTCTCTCTCTCTCGTTTGTCCCCCCCCCTTGAGGCGCCCGTTTCTTTTTCGTTTATTACTTCAGATATTTATTTTTTTTTTTTATTTTTTTTTTCGTGCCCACTTTTTGGGGACTACCGGTCACACGGAGGTGGGTACCCCGCCTGACGCAGCGCGTTAGCGGCCGCGTCGGCTTTTTCAAGTTAGGCGAGGTACTAGTGGTTTAAGAATGCCGGCCCGCTCCCACGCATCGACGATCTTCTCGAACGCTTGGGCGACGCCAAGTACTTCTCCAGGTTGGACCTCAAGGCCGGTTACCACCAGCTCGAGATCCATCCAAGAGATCGCTACAAAACCGCGTTCAAGACAGCACGAGCACTTTGAGTGGGCCGTAATGCCATTCGGCCTCACGAATGCCCCGGCCACCTTCCAAGCCGCAATGACAATGGAGTTTCGCGACATGTTGGACCTGTTCGTGCTCATCTACCTCGGCGACATCTTGGTGTATAGCTGAACCTTGGACGAGCACATCGTGCATCTACGCGCTGTTTTGGACAGGTTACGTACGGCCAAGTACAAGGCCAACCGAGCCAAGTGTTAATTCACACAACAAGGGTACGTGGGACACTTTGTGACGGCGCAAGGCATCTGTCCGCTTGCGGACAAGATCAAGGCCATCCAAGATTGGCTGGAACCGACCAACGCCACGAAAGTTCGCTCTTTTATGGGATTGGTTGGGTACTACCAACGCTTCATCGGCGGATACGCATGGATCGCCGCACCCTTGTCAAGATTGCAGTCTCCAAAGGTGCCCTTCCATTTCACCGACGAAGTTCGAAGTTCGTTCCATAAATTGAAGACGGCGTTGCTTCTCGCTCCCGTCTTGAGTATCTACGATCCCACCTTGCTGATGAGAGTGACTACAGACGCTTCTAGCTACGGCATGGGTGCAGTTTTGGAACAACACGACGGAGTAGATTGGCATCAGGTTGAGTACTTCAGCCAAAAGGTGCCTCCCATCAACTCGGTTGATGATGCGCAGAAGGAGTTGCTCGCTTTCGTCGCGGTATTCGTAGGTTCGATGGAGTTGGCGACACTTCCTCCTCGGTCGTCGTAGCTTCACGTGGGCCACGGAAAATAACCCATTGACCTACTACAAGACGCAAGACACGGTGAGTAGCACGATCGCTCGATGGATGTACTTCATTGACCAATTCGACTTCACACCAAACACATTTCGGGCCTCTCCAACCGAGCCGCAGATGCTCTCTTGCGAAGATCAGATCTTTGCGCATTGACTCACCACGCGTTCAGTTTCGACGACGCCCTTCATCAACATTTTGTGCAAGCATACAAGTCTGATCCGGAATATGCCACGCTATACGAGCAACTATCCTCGGATCACCCGCCGGCCAGCTACTATCGCGTCGCCGACGGCTACTTCTTCATTCACGAGGCAAGGACTAACTATGTGTCCCAGACGACCGTCGCTTACGGACTTGCCGCCTCAGCGAATTCCACGAATCGCGACTCGCCGGCTACTTCGGAGTCAACTGTACGATCGCAAGACTTGGACAATGATTCTGGTGGCCCAACTTGATTACCGACATCACTCAGTATTGCGACTCTTGCAAATTTTGTCGACGAAGCAAACCCCTCAATCGCAATCCCTACAACAAGTTACGCCCGTTGCCTATCCCGCGGGAACCCGGCATCTCCATTGCTATGGACGTTACCGGTCCGTTCCCCCACGACCGCTTCGGGCTGGATGGGATTCTCACGGTCGTCGACCATTTGAGCAAGTACGCGCGATTTCTTCCCTGCAAGTACTACGCCACGGCTCCCGAGCTTGCACGACTCTTGCACACCAGCTGGATCTGCGGCCACGGCGCCCCGGAAGACATCGTCGACGACCACGACACTCGTTTTATGTTGGCATTTTGGATTGCTCTCATGAAGGAGTCCGACACCGAGATGAAACAGAGTTCGGCTCGACATCCAAAAATGGATGGGCAAACAGAGCGGGCACATCAAACAACTTAAATGATGCTTCATACGCTCATCCGCCCGACTGCCTCCTTGACATCGAGTTCACCTACAACACTTCATTGCATCCGATGATTGGCGTGACTCCATCCGAGTTGCACCACGGTGGCCAGAAAGGCTGTATCTTCGCCGACCTCCCATTCCCACGGATTGCCGACATTGACGCCGCCTGCTCTCCCTGCTCCGATCGGAAGTATCCGGACTTGCTGGCTCAAGGCCGTGCCAACATGCAAAAGGCTCGAGTCCGCATGCAATAGCAAGCCAGTTGGCATCGCGTGCCATGGCCCATCCGCGCCGGCGACCTTGTTTGGGTCTCCACGGAGGAGTTTGCACTTGAACAAGACGTATCGCGCAAGCTACTTCCAAAGTGGTTTGGACCATCGACCGTCACATCAGCCGTGGACGATGAGCCCGATGGCCCTTCTTTTGTGATCGAAATCCCGCCCCATCTAACAGTCCACCCGGTCTTCCACGCCTCCAAGCTGGCCACATATACACCAGCCAAGAGTGACGACTTCTCGGGTCGACGATCGCAGGACCCTCCTTCCATGGATGGTCATCAGGAAGTTGATCGCGTCATCACACATCGCAAGCACGACAACAAGCCAATGCAGTACAAGGTCACATTCAGGTGGTGCGACCGTGACGACACGAGATGGATTTCATGAGCAGCCTTGCAAGCCTCCACACCACTTATCTACGCCGACTATGAGAAGAAACGGGTAGCCACGAAAGCTGCAAAGCCTGCCCCTCCCACCTGGACTTCGGTCCCTCCCTCCAACAGACAGCTTCACCCTCGCAAGTAAGCTCGGTCTTTCAAGGAGGGGGGGG